TTAGTTTTAAATTTTTTTCTTTTTATATTAATGGTATATTTTAGATATGCACAGGACCACATTCATCATAGGAATCTGTGCCTGTACATGGTATATCATGCTTCATCTTTTCTTCCCATTCCTCTCTTCTTCCTCCAGCCCTAATTCCCTCCTTTACTTACAGAAACTTTGTTTCCATTTTTTCCTTCTATTCTTTTCTTTTCCTTGTCCCTTCCTTCCTTCACTCTCTTTGTTCCCCTTCCCATGTCAAAAACTTTCAATAGAGAATCGCTGTACCCTGTGGTCAAGGGTGGTGAGAAGTCCACAGACCACACAAAGTATAAGGCACCAGTTGTCAACCTCCAGCTCTTTGGAAACACCTGGAGAATTCTGGAAAAGCCAGAGTGTTTCCCTCACTAACTCAGCTGAACCCTGATTCAGTAAATGGGGACTGAGAATTTGCTTTCAACCAAGCTCTGAGATAAGTGGGAGTTCCCCAAGCAGCAGACAGTATGTTTTAAGCTAGGAAAGAAATCTCCTATTTTGCAGATTTGGGGGAGATATATTCTTCGGGACTTCTTTAGATATGGAGCACATCTAGGTGAGCAGGATTCTCTCTGGCCACTTAAAGAAATAATCCTTTAAGCTCCAACACTTTGGACACAATGTCCAGTGTTTCTATAGGCCCATGATGTGCAGAATAAGGTCACAAGAGTGTGGAGTATGGAAGAGACATGGATTCTGACCCCTCCCTGCATTGTTGAGGGAAGTGTGGGGTAAGGAGCTCACAGTGGCTTGAGTGGCTTGTGAATGGCAGAGCCAGGTGTAGAAGCCAAGTTCACACACTTCTGTCTGTTCTTTCCAAGGTCCCTGTTTCTCCCTCACCCTCTGCTTTCTTGGGGCCTGCTGAGCAGTTATTCCCAAAGCATGTTTATTGTCCCAGTCCCCCCGCCCAGTCCCCGCAGGCAGCCATGGCAGGGTTAACTTTTGTTGGACTGGAGGCCTGAGCCAAGTACAGAGTGTCCATTGTATGCCGCCCCCTCAGGAGGAGTCGCAGACTGCTGGAATGTGACAGGGCAAAGCGTTTTCACCTTGCCTGGCTTCCCGGTTGTGTGAGTATGTGAGTGTACGCTTGTGTTCACATGTGTGTGCTGATGGGGGTGCTTGTCAAGAGGACTGGTTGTTGTCTCCCAGACTCACCAAAAAATTGAACCTTGAATTTAGGGTGGCACATATTTGCTGGGGACAAGGCTGAAGGAAAACAACAGCTTTGTGTGCTGGGGAAGTAAACAGACAGGTTAGGTTTCTTTGCTTTTAAAAGCTTGTTTATTTTATTCTTCTAAGGTGAGGGGGCTCCTGTGGACACAAGAGGCTGGGATATTATCCTCAGGATAGACAGGAAATTTGGCAGGGGCTGCCTTGGGAGGTGGAGCTAGGGTTGGAGTAGTTTGAACTCTAGGACTTTGAATAGTTGTCAGGGAGTGAATTCATTTTCATTCAGAAAGAACTTCTTGAGACCAACTAAATGCCCAAACCTCTACTGGTTGCTGAAGTGAATGTAAGCATTATACAATGCAGACCTCAGCCTGAGAATGACTTGAAGTTCAGTTACAAAAATAAGATTTGTGCACTCAAAGCAAGTAGTGAACAATTCAAGGCTGGTATTCAGTGGCAAACTGTATGGCCTGGTGCAGTGTAAGTCAGGGTAGAGAGTGAGTGCTATGGCCTGAAGTTTGCAAAATGTTGCCATGGAGAAATGAAGGCTTGGGTGTGACCTAGGTATGGGAAGGCTTGAGATCCATTGCTCATTCAGTCCTTCGTGTGACAGACATGTAGAGAGCACCAGTCATATGCCAGGCATTGCACAAATCAGTGGAAGGGGTGGAAGAACTGAGTCTAGAAAAATACCCATGCAGAAAGAATGCCGTGCATGCAGGGCTGCCATGGAGACAGGTTTGACTTGAGCAGGTTGTGTGAACTGATGGCTAACATGCTGGAAACCTGGACTCTTAAGGTGAGACCAATATGGAAGATCTGAAATGGATGTATTCCTAAAGGTAGGGGCTGTTTGGAACTGCATTACTCTTTTATCTGTGGTATACATTATGAAAAACTTCCACAACCCCAGTTCAGGTCCTCAAGCAACTAGAGTCAAATTACAGCAGGGGGCCAGATTTTCTCTGCCCCTAATGTCTGCATGTGGTATGAGGGTCGGATTATCTTTTTAAAACAAGAAAGTATCCTTTCCAAACTGAAAACCCTACCATGTCTTCCCATGACCTGTTAGATAGAACTCAGTCCCATTAGTGTGGCATTTGATGATGTCCACAATCAGGCTATAACCTTTTATTTGCTGCCTTAAGCCTCACCAATCCCTGTTTTGCACAATACCCCTTACCCACATCAAATTTCTGTTTCCTGATCACAATCCTGGTACTCCTGAGTTACTCAGCTTGCTGCGAGCCCTTCCTTCTGTCTCTCTTGTCTTTCTTCTTTTTGCTGTACCTGTGAAAAGCTCAAGATCAAAACCAGACCTTGTGCTGTCTTGGAAACCTGCCTATGTTATATCCTATCAACCTATACCCTGTGGCATGTGGAAGATGCTTTCTTTTCCTTGTGCTTCTGTCCTTTATTATAGTGCATGTAAATTCTGCTTTGATGAGAGTTTGTTTTTCAAGTCTCTCTTTAAGAGTGTCTTCGTTGTGCCTTAAGAGCTTGACTGGAGAAGAACTGTAAAATATACTGAATTGAATTTTCATTTTCTCTGGATCTCTTACTACTTAAGTTTTAGATTTTGGAAATTTCTACAGCTAATTAGTTATGCATGTAGTTAAATATAAGAATCTCTGAAATGAATCACTTTTTACGTGAAGATAATTTCTTAATATTAATAGTACCTTCACTTCATACCCCCATCCATTCATCTACAGTTTCACTTTTAACTTCTTTTACCCAACACAGTATCTACCACATGCATTCTCCTGCTCTGCCTTGAAGGTCTAAATGGCTTTAGCTGGGGAATTTCTTAGCAGTCAGTGCCTCACCTTTGCCCTGATCTAAAGATAACTTTATACATAGGGACTAGGTGTTCATAATATATTATTGGTGATTCCTGCCAAAAGGCATCAACCTTGAGCATTACAAGCATTAGAAAATATGGTCGGCAGTTTGTGTGGATCTGGGACACAGACTGAGAAAGACCTGCTGGGCTCTCCTTCCTCTTGGGAGGCAGGGACTTATTCTAAGGCATCTTGATGTCACCAGCAGCTATTGTAGTATCTGCCAGTAGTAAGAAAGACCTACGTGACTTCTTAAAAATTAAAATGTTTTGGGCAGGAAGGCAGATCAGTCCTGGTGAAACAGAGAATGTAATAAAGAAAAAGAAGCAGCAATGTCATCTCTTGTCAAGCTGCCACCCAGAGGGGCCATTACCCATGGTGCCTGCTCAGGGTTGGCTAAAAGTGTCAGCAAAAGCACTCTTACTCTCAGCAGGGCACCCTCACCTCTTCCAGAAAAATTGTATTCTTTGGATTCTCCCCTAAGTGGAAGCAGCTGTAACTGTGCCTTTTTTGCAGGGCTGAACAGTTTCCAAGAGCAGAGCATATTCCTGGGCTTCTCTGGGGAGAAAGGCCTGTGAGGCCTCAGCCGCCTTCCTGTCTGGCCTCCTCTCAGGGCGTCAGCTCCTTCTCCCAGAGAGAGAAGACAGTGCCCAAATCTTGAGGGTTCCATTTCTTCACTGTTCTTCATGTGTCTTTGCGGACATCCTTGGACATTATCTGGGGACACATTTGCTCGCAGGTCTTTAAATGGATGGGCTCAGAAGTAGATACCTTAAGCTGTTATAGTAATGTCTTGTGCGAGAAAGGTAGAGACTGCTCAAGGGATGAGACAGGAGCTTGGGAGGGACATGACTGATAGCCAAGGGGTGGAAGGACATGATGTCTCCAGTTTTGTGCAGCCGTAGGGCTGTAGGGCTTCTCTTAAGAGTGGCATTAGGGCTTCCTTTTGGACTTTGAAATGATGAGTCTGAAACTGGGAATAACGGGGTATGCGGTGAGAAAGGGAGCTGATCCTGTGCTAGTCTGGAGAGATCCTGGTTGCTTTTTGTCTTCTGCTCTTCAAGGAAGGCGATGAAGATCACAGGGGATTCCTGACACCTCCAAGGGCCTTTTCACATGCATCTTCTCTATCTCTGTCTCTGTCTGTGTCTCTGTGTCTCTGTCTCTCTGTCTCTCTTTTGCTCATTGTCACTTTCTGTAAGGAATGAGAAAGGAATTAAAATTGTCTACAGTGGCTATTTTTATCTGAATAATTGAAAATGATTATTTTTTCTGTTCTGATGGAAATATTTTCTGAGTTTGTTCTGCATTAATCACAGTGTTATATGCGATTTCCCATTGAAATCTTGTTGTTTTCCTTTTCTGAGCTTGGCATTTGTTTTAAAAACAGAGAGAAGACTTTGCATAATTGAAATAATGCACAATAAAAATGAAACAGAACAGTTAAGAACGTCCACTCGATGAACGTCCTTCCTCTAAGGAGTGGAAGCGCGGCCTAGGCAGCTAGGGGTTTTGATCAGTGCTGCAAACTGTTCTGCACACGAAACAGGGAAGTGCTGCAAGGAGCCACTCTGCTGTGGTTCCCACAGACCTGAGCATCAACACTTGAGACTTCCCTTTCGTCATGGCTGATTTTGCTGGTGACTCAGCCAGCTGTGGCTTCAATGTAAGAAGCCTCTAGCTTGTTACTAGCTGTACGCCTCACCCCTCTTATCTTTATTTTGGGGGCTTGCAGTCATAAAAATGAATAATACCCCATCATGAAGGCACGTGTGAGTGTTTCCCCTGCAGGTAGAGTATAATGCAATTTTGGGATGTGCCTATGCTGGTTGAATTTCTTTGCATCACTTTTTTTTCCCCTGATGCTATGGATAAATGAAAATGGAGCTCTGGAACTTAGATTGACTAACTTTTGAACTCATGCTCCTTCCTGCCACAGCTAATTATCACTTTGCTTTGCAGTTGCAGATTGGATCTCTTCTGAACACCTCACCGTGTCTCCATCCCTGGGACTGTGAACCCAGCAGCTGGACTACTTTGTTCTTGGAATTTTGGGTGTCCTTTCCTCTTGCTTTCCTTTTGTCCTTCTCCCTTCTCCCTCCTGAGAACTCCTGAAGACTGTGGGATTGTCATGGAGTCCAGGGAAATCTTGAGCAGCTCCCGGCAAAGAGGGGGTGAGTCGGAATTCCTGCCGGTCTCCTCAGCGAAGCCCCCAGCTGCTCCTGGCTGTACAGGAGAACCTTTGCTGTCCAGTCCAGGACCCGGGAAGAGCATCCCAGTGGGCGGAGAACGCATGGAGCCAGAGGAGGAGGATGAACTGGGCTCAGGGCGGGATGTGGATTCCAACTCCAATGCAGACAGTGAGAAGTGGGTGGCAGGAGATGGCTTGGAAGAGCAGGAGTTTTCTATCAAGGAGGCGAACTTCACTGAGGGAAGTCTGAAGCTGAAGATTCAGACCACAAAGAGGGCAAAGAAACCCCCAAAGAATCTGGAGAACTACATCTGCCCACCTGAGATCAAGATCACCATCAAACAGTCTGGGGACCAGAAGGTGTCCCGTGCTGGGAAAAATAGCAAAGCTACGAAGGAGGAAGAAAGAAGCCACTCCAAAAAGAAGGTAGGACTCCCTCCCTGTCTTGTAGGCTTTTGGTTTCGGTTTTTGCCATTGTATGTCCAACATTTAAGAGTCTGTTTGCATAGTATGTATTTACTTCTGAATTGTCAGTCTTCTTAATAGAAGTCTTATGGCCTCCCAAAGAAATGTCTGACATGCTGCTGGTATAATGTCAGATTGATTGTTATACTTTCTCACCTAAAAATAGCTACTAAATTATAATTCAAGAGTATTTGTATTGACTGTAAAGCAGCCAGTTGGTTGGTTCAGCTAAACTCTTAACACAAGTTTGAAGTTTGTAAAAATTTTTTGACATCTGCGTCTGTTCTCAGAGTCAAGAGTGGGATGTTGAAACACTGGTCAGTCAGAGCAGTCAAGAGCTGTTAAAGCTTCCTTTTGGTTTCAATCATTGCTACTGTCAGTCTTTCTAAGATGAATCGCTCATCTGACTCAGGGAGCCTGGGCTTCACAGTAACTGAGGCTCCTGCAGGGCTGAAAGATCAGCGTCCGGAAAGCCCTAATGAGCTTCGGCTGGAACTAGAAAAGGCAAGGAGGTCGGCGGTTGGCCTGAATCATGGATTTTGAAGGCTACATATTGAAGGAACTTGATTTTCATTTTCCTCCTAAGAATCAAACGTGGATGTGCAGAGCTGACTGAGGTGGTTGGAGGTGTCAGTTTGTCAGGAATGAATGGGTCCATGTTTCACTAAGTTTATTTGGGGAGCTTCAGCAACCTCTGTTCTTGGAGGAGTGTAGCACTCTGCTGTGATGACAAAGGACCACCTTGTTACAGAAAGCTTGTCTATCAAGACATTGTGGGGGCCTAGGGATGGCTGCAAAAGATGCATTTGATTGGCAGAATTTTGAGGTTCTTGGGGTAGGAGCTATCAGTCTTTGACTCTCTCCCTGACATTTGGTAATTTATGTGGGCTGTAGTGATAGTGGATTAGCTAAAATGGGCACAAATGAAGTTATCTCTTGCCTGATAGCCTAGAGGTAATCTGTAGTGTTTCTGTTACACTGTAGTTTTTTGGGTTTTTGAGCCATGGTAGTCATTTTCTTTTTTTAAATTTTTACTGTTATTACTATGTGTTTGCAGTATGTCATGCTTATGTTTATTGTGGGTAATTGGTGCATGTAGTCATTTTCAAGACAACCACTGGGAATCATATTAATTTTTTAGTGTAGGACTGTGTCCATCCTCTTTTGACGTATTCTTGCTGATTTGTTTCATTTAAAATTGAAACATGTGGGCTAAGAAAGACTTTCTAGGGAGACTTAACTCCCCACAGTGCCCAATTAACTTGTCCTGGTTTTAAAACCAGAAATCCTGTATCCAGGAGTCCTCTTGCAGTTCTGGGGAAACCAGGACTGTTGCTCACTCTACTTTGACATTTTGGAGCATGAAGGAATCTTTAGAAATTGGCTTGGTTTTTTTTTTTGTTGTTGTTGTTGTTGTTTTTTCTGGTACTGGGAATCAAACTCACGACCTTGTGCTTGCCAGGCAGACACTGTGCCGCTGAGCTAAACCCCCAGCCCAACAATTGGCTTATTTTTTGCCAGAGAACAGAGCCCATGCTTTCCTCTCTCCCATTACAACTTTGCAGTGCTTTCAAAACCAAGGTTATCTTGACACACTCATACAGACTTTTGAGATTCTTCCAAGAAAGTGCAACAAGCTCTACTTTGAAACTGAAATGTTGCTTTGGAGTTGGGTGTTTTCAGCTTTGAAAATGAGTGCTTTTGTCTCTGGCCATTGAGATGTCTGGTTCTTTGTGTGTTGTTGGGATTTTACGAGAGTGAGCAGTCTTGAAGACTTACTTGTGCTAACTACTTCCCTGCACCTCTACCACTATCGAGACTGGAGCAGTGTACAAACCCAAACTTGCTGCCTTAAAAAGATAGTAAGTTGTTCCGATCAGGTACCACTTTCTCTAAAGCCATACACTGATTCTAAATACAGCCTTTTCCCCTTTGGAATACCCGAGAATGATGCTGTGGACTTTGTGACATAAGGTGATTTCAAAACTGCAAAGTGCCATGGACTTCAGTTTTCATGATTGACATCTTAGGCTGGTCATTCTCACCCACAATGATCTATGCCTTTAGAAGGTTTTCCTGGAAAGAGAGATGAAATCACATACTTGAATATGTAATTCCTCAATAGGCATTTCTATGCCTGAGCAAATGGAGGGAATGGAAGAGAAAGAGGCAAAAGGCTGATTTTCAAATCATAGAGCTACTTTATAACACTGTCTTAAGAGTATCCAACAGCAGGTTTGCTTTCTTAGGAGCTCACTGCACACTGTACATCTCCATCCCCCCTATTTTTCTTTTTTTTAGTGTGTAGTTTTTATTAGTGTATGTTTGCAGTATGTAATGATTGTATTCCTTGTGAGGAGTCAGTACCTGTACATAGCAATCTCAGTTCTTTTTTGTTTTTCATCTCCTTTTGCTCTACTCCCTCTCTTTACTCTATGCTGGATCCCCTTCCCATTTGAAAAAGATCCATCTCCATACTTTCTATTATGCTTTATTCCCCTTTCTCTCTCTTTCTCTCCCTCATATATGTGTATATATATATATATATATATATATCAGAGAGTCTCTCCCTCTTTGGGTTTAGGTGTCCTTGCCCCTGCCATATATATATATATGAAAAATTTAAACTTTGATTTATTTCACTTAAAGAAAATGTATTTGTATTCAATGGAGTACAACTCTGCTGTATAGAAGGATAAACTTGAATCATTTGTAGGAAGTGGATGTACTGTGAGACCTATGTTTCCTTAGCCTTAGTACTGTTACTTTCCAGCAACAAGTGAGTAAAATTATCAGCAGTGAGTTGTAATTACTTGGTAGATGATAAGAGCGTTCTTTGATCTCTATTGGATTAGAGCATTAACATTATCACCCTTTACCTTCTCATTGCTTTGCAACTAGAGAGGAAGCAAAAACTGAAGCGAGATGTCAGGAGGTGGAAACTTAGCCAATCATATGCATGGAAAAATTCAGTGGCATGAGCTTGCAGAATTAATTCTATGCCAGTGGGAGGTACGTCATCAGTACAGGCAGGGAAAGGATGAAGATGGCATTTTGTAAGTAACAGATTAGCATCTAACCTTGAAATCACATCTTCTAGATGAGTTATTAATGAAATGAACCCCCCTTTGAAGAAGTGTACAGGGTGTGGCCCCCAGGAATCAGGTCTCCCATTAAGAGCTAGGAAGGAGGTCCTGTTGACTGGGTTCTTGAACTGGTAGGTATTCCTATTTGGGAGTCATCTAAAGTGTGTGCTGACTTTGAGCAGAGGTTGGCCAACTATATGAACCACATCCAAACCCTTTGCTGTTTTTGTTTAGCCCACATGTAAAAGATGATTTTACCTCTGAAAAGACCAGAAGAAAGTCAAAAGAAGAACAATATTTTGAAATACATTATATTTATTTGAAATTCAAATTTCAGTGTCCATAAATAAAGTTTTATTGGAATAGAGCCAATTCCATTTGTTTACATTTTATGGATGGCTGCTTTTGCATTACAGTGGCAGAACTGAGTAGTTGTCACTAAGATACTGTGGCCTGCAAAGCTTAAACTATTTACTGTCTGGTGTCCATTACTCCTTGACTTAGGGGCAGACAGTTTCAAGATAATATGTGTTTTATTTTTGTTTTGTTTTTAATGATTCATCCTCCAAGTTTGGAGGCTGGGAGAAATTGGGTGTTAGATTATGTGCTTTTTTTTTTTAAGTGAACCAATTAATTTTGCTCAAGTGATTGTTTGACAGCTCCAGGCAAAGATAGCTTACATCGGATCCCACATCATTTTCTTTCTCATCAGTTTTTGTCAAGAGGAAACAGTGTAGGAAGATGGTAGTGTGACTTACGTATCACAAACTAGTTGTCCGTACTTAACTCTAATTGCACACAGTCCACAGCTTACGGGTGAATGAAGTCCATATTTGGCATCATGTAGGCTGTTATTCGATATTTTAAACCTAGAACAAACCCTCCAAACTGGAGAGGCACTGTAGATGGTCAGAGAATATGATCACTTAAGCGGTAGGATATGAGAAAGGATCCAGGAAAGTGGCATGTCACTGGCTCAAAGATTCATGGAATTTTAAACTAGGGTGTAAGCTTCTCTTTCACAGGCAATCAGGCAGGTGATTGAGATGGTCTTTAGGAGGAGGGTTAGGATCAATGGATGTACAGGAGATAAGAAAACAGAATTTTGGAGGAAGTAGAGGCTAAAGGATGAGCTGAGACCATACTCTAGGACTTTGCAGATGGACTGCACAAATTCACATTTGCAGAGGGACTACACATGTTCACATTCACAAATTCACATTGTTCCTTGTCAGAGGTCCAACACTATTGCATCTTAAAGTTATTCAGGTAGGTGACACAACAGCATGCTTGTTCCAGTACCCTTCTAGGTCAGTCAGTAAAAACAACAGAGAACATGAAGCAGAGTAGCTGCAAGTTCAAGTACAAAATGTCCCAGCAGGACAGGGTTTTGAAGATGCTCTCAGCTAGGCAGAGTTTAGCATCTCTTCTCTTCCTGAGGTCTGTGGGATCAGAGACACCTCTCTAGATTTGACAGCGAGAGAAGGGAAGGGTGGTCCTGGATAGACTCCATCTGACACCTAGTGACTTCGTGAGTTTGGAGCTGCTGTGTAACCTTGCTGAAGTCCAGTTTCCTCATCTACAATTTTTACATGCTATAACTGATGGCATATTTTAGGAAGAAAAATAGCTAATTTTATCCCAATATGAGCATGTATTATAATGATAGTGTCAGTTTACTAAGCTGTGCTAGCCCCTCTGCTAGCTGTTTTCTCTTAATCCTTATAATAATTCTTCTGGGAAGATTGCTCAGATCACTTCAAAAGAGTAAGAGTTGAAATGGGCAAATTTTGCCTTTGAAACCAATTCTGTTAGACTCCAAAACCATTGTAGTACTCCAGTTCCTCAGTTACCACACTGTGTAAAATTAAAAGA